CACGCAGGATCCAGTTAGAGTTGAAGGGTGTTTATAGGGAACTGTGTTCAGAGATAATGATGATGATGGTATAATAATGTCATCTCTGTTTTTAAACATCTAGGAAAATTAAGTTGCCCAACTCTAATCTTATGTAAAAATTTATTTAAATGTCCTTTAACCTTCTACCAATGTCCAAGGAATAGAAATTAATTAGAAATTATTAGAAATAATTTGGAATCTCCCAACTTTCAACCTAGCCAAAAAAGGAAGAAATATTAGACTCAAAATGTTTTTTGAAGAGTATGTTAGCCCACTTCCCTCTCTGGGCTTGTCTCTGGAAATGGCACTTTCCAGTTAACAGGTAAAGATTCCGACTCAGGCCAATCAATTTATGATCATACTACCGTTTCAGCACACTCATCTGTCATAGAACAAAGGAGCATGGAGGCTCATGACAACCTCATTTGGCTTACCCTGGGTTAAGATTTTTTAAAAAAGATGGTCAAGAAGAAAGCAGGGATTGGGTGTGCAAAGGTCTGAGACTTATCTGGAAAGCATCTTACTCCTGGACTGAGTGCCAGTCCCTGACAGTTAACAGTCAATTCGTAAAGTTTCACTTGGGAAATGTGATTAAAGCTTACTCCTTTCCATAATGCTGCATTGTATAAATAAAGCTATAGCACCTTTTTGCTTTCCAACAGTGGAGTTCTACTGCAATGATAAAAGCTGGACAATGAGGGCTACAGAACACTTAAGTCAGGTCACTTTGCATTTTACAGCATGTGGCCTATCCTGGTATGTTTTACATGGGTTACAGAGAACTGCGGAGTGAGGTCTGTTTACTGTGCAAATTTACCTCCCAGATCTTTCAATAAACATATTTTCTACACTGAAGAGTGAAGCCAATTCAGTCTCAGGCTGATTTAGGAATGTTATTAAAGAAAGTAAGGATGAGCATCTTCTTAATTCTTACATTAAAATGTAAATAGGGTAATTATAAAATAATAAACTCTCCTCCAAATAAAAAATGCTAGCTAGAGAGCTCAGTTATGCAGGCTATAGTGCAATTACTAAACACTGAGCACATACATATGTCACATTTGTGAATCTGCCATCCAGATTTTGTGGTTTTACTGCCCAGAATCTAAGCATGGCTCAGAAATCTAATTTCTTTCTTTATTATGCAGAGTTGTTAAACAGTGACTGGAAGTTGGTGGTCATCTGTTGATGTGCGTACATTTGTCCCTGTCCTTATCAGTACCCTCAAAGAAAATGGCTGACATGGAATGCAGCTCAAGTCAAAGGGGAACATACTCCTAGAGACATTCTGGTCTCTAGTAAGAAAATTCTCTCACTTCCTTCAGTTGACCTCATAACATAAACTGTTTCTTTGTTTTTGTATTTCGTTATTTGAAACAGGGTCTGATGTTGTCCAGGTCTCCAACTTGCTTTGAAGCCAAATCTGGCCTTCAACTCATGAACTTCCTGCCTCCACTTCCCAAGTATTGGGATTCTAAGTGTATACCACCACATGCTTCCAGGACAAAACAGAAAACAATTCTGAGTCATTCTCTCTAGGTCTTGGCTGTTTGTTTGTAGGACAGAGGTGTTTTATCCTGTTCTGCTAATGGAGACATTGGGGAGATTATTTTTAATCAGAAAAACAGAATGCTCTTCCCAAAGAACGTCCATTTGAGGTCATATTTCAGAATAGAAAATTGAAGCCAGGAGTGTTGAAGTCATTTACCAAGTTCAGAACCACGATTTAAATCATGTTCAAGGACTCCCACTGTAGTGCTGTGCACTGTGCAACCGCGAAGACTGCACCGTGTTCGATGTTTTCTGCACAAGGAAAGGCTCTTGATGATCTCATTCACATCATTTGCTGCTGGAGTTTGAAGCTTCACATAGCCATACAGGAGGAGCTCAAAGAATACTTAGAAAATGAATAAAATTAGCCAGGTGTGGTGGCACACACCTTCAATCCCAGCATTCTGGAGGCAGAGGCAGCTGGATATATGAGTTCAAGGCCAGCCTGGTCTATACATAGTGAGTCCCAGGCCAGCTGGAGCTATAGGGAGACCTTGTCTTTAAAAATGGACCCCCCCCCCAAGAAAGAGTGAAGTTATAGGACACAGCATGATAGGAACAGCTGTGAGTTTAGAGGCAAGACACCCAGATTTATGACCTAGTTCTATCATGTACTATGAAAATCTGTGAAATTCCAAAGATGGGAAACAGCCTTCATGTCCACCTATAAGGCAGTTGGTAAACAAACTATGAGATATGCACACTTAGACTCCTAACATCTACCAGTAAGGTACCATGTCTACAAGCTATGAGACAACCACACATAGACTGATAATGTAGTTTTCTGTTGCTTTTGTAGAAAATTATCATCAGCTAAAAGCAAAACAAATTTTCTGCTGTAATTCTCTAGACCAGAAATCTGATGTGAGTCTCGCAGGGCAAAAATGAAGGTGTTGGCAGGACTGACTAACCTTACGGAGCTCCTAGAGGCTCTGCACACTCCTTGGCACCTTCTTTAATGCCCAAAATGGCTAATTGAATCCCTCTTATAATGTGTTAAGCTTCTTTTGTTTTCTTCTCCTTTTTAATGTTTTATTTACTGTTTTTATTTTATGTGTATGACTGTATTGCTTGCATGTATGAAAGTGTACTCATGTCATGCAATCTCGTGGAGGTCAGAAGAGGGTGTCGGATCCCCTGGGGCTGGAGTTATGGAAGGTTGTTAGCCAGCAGGTGAATGCTGGGAATGGAACTCAGGTCATCAGGAAGAGCAGTGCTCTTTACCGCTCACCATCTCTCCAGCCCCAGCTTCTTCTACTGTTAAGGAGCCTTGTGGATTACTTGGGTTCACAATACACTGGAGGATGATTTTTCTATTTTAGAGTCATGTGATCATCATTCTCAATTCCATCTCATAGCTTATTTCTCCTTTGCGATGTAAGGTAACATATTAACAGATTCCAGCAGACATAGCATCTTTGTCTGCCACATTTAAAAAAATAAATGTAAGGGAGATTTCTGTGTTCTGATAGGGTAAATTTTCAATGATACAATGCTATGTAGGAAATATAAGGCAGGGAGTCAGGAAATGACTCAATTGGTAAAGTGTCTGCCATGAAAGCACGAGGACCTGAGCTCAGATCCCCAGCGCTCATGTAAAAGCCAGGGGCAGTGGCACCATGCACAACCCTGGTGATGGGGAGCGGAGACATCTGGAGATATCTGGAGATCTCTGGAGCTCATTGGCCAGCCAGTCTACCTGAACAGATGAGCTCCAGGTTCAGTGAGAGACCCTGTCTCAAAAATAAGAGTGATCAAGAAAAACACCTAACATCAACCTGTTGTCTTCACATGCTTGTACACACTGCACATATATATGTACACACCCACATGAACGAGTAGATACACCACACATACACAACGTGTGTGTGCTTGAACACCAAAAATAAATAAATAACTAGGAAAAGAAAGGCAAAGAAAATTGTTCATGTTATTTTAGATGTAAAAAAGGAAATACAAATATATACTCACACTTAGTTACAGTTGCATAAACAAATTCTGGAAAGTTATGCAAAAAGTATTACAGTGTTGACAAATAATTAGGAATGACAAGTGGGGTAGAAGGAGTTGGGGTGGATGGAGTGATTGTTTAATGTTTCGTCATCACTGCAGGCTTTGTAGTGAGTACTGAAATTGGGAAGGATGTCTTAAACATTTCTACCTAAATCCTTATCTGGTATAGGGATTTTTCTTTCTTATGTGTATTTTAAGAAGTGGTTAATTTTTAACAAAAAGAGAAGGTCTGGGAGATTTTGGCATGTATTCTGCTGTGTCTACAGTTTGAGGAGAATTGACATCTTAACAGTATGGAGATGTTGAATAATGTCATATTTTCCTTAATTTATTTAGGCACATTTAAATTCTTAAATGTGGAGTTTTATCAGGTACCAAAAATTCCCTGACTTTGGTTGAAATTACATTAAATATAATTATACAAATTATGATAAACTTATCTTTGTTTTCAATGAGTTCAATTTTTATTGTGCTTACCATGTAGAGTTATGAAAATGTCTCATCATGGTGCATATAAAGAAGAATGATATTTTTGTATTTCCAAAAAAACATAATCCTGTGATGTGCTCTTTGCAAAATGGCTTCTTTGGCCCAGAAGCTTAAGAAATATCACATAGAAAATATAGTCTTCAGATTCCTGTTTGTACTGGCAATTGACATTATCTGATACTCGGATATTCCAAATATTCTACTATTAATTTATATTACCTTCTTCTTTTTTTTTTTTTTTTTTTTTTTTGAGACAGGGTCTCCCTGTAACCCCAGCTGTCCTGGAACTCACTGTGTAGACCAGGCTGGCCTTGAACTCACAGTGATCCACCTGCCTCTGCCTCCCAAGTGCTGGGACTACAGGCATGAGACCCCATGCCCAGCACTTTCTTATTTTTATATATTTTAAAATCTGCTAATAATTTACCCTTTCCTTGTTATTTCTTTTTAGCAGAATGGCTACGTTAGCTAGCTAATATAATTAGTTTTCCTTGTGTTTATATGATCTGAGACAACGTAACTTGTATAATAAATTATTCTTTGAGATATTTAACAAGAATGAACACATAACAAGAATTGTGATAGTTTATGTCAAAAATAACAATGGTTTTCTTCAACAGTGATGCATTTTAATTTTTTCATATTTTAAATTATTTTTGCCAAGTAAATATATTTGGTGGGAATGATATAAAACAGTACAGGTAAGGCTGATTATACAGAGAAATTCATAATTTCTGTGATCAATCACTTACTGTTCAAGTTTGAAGTGCTGAACCCGAGTCCCTTGGAAATCTGACACACTGAGACTAGTAGGGAGGAACTGCTCAAGAGATTGTGCACAGCATGCAGATATGAAGAGATGTACATACTCAGACCATCAGCTTCAGCTTGACAAACTACAGAGAGCAATGAGAAGGGATACTCACATCTGAGTTAAAGCGAAGCTGACAGACATTACAAGAGATAACTTGCTTCTTCTTTGGGGGAATGGATACTCCAAAGGTGTGGTTAATGACTGCTTTCTGCACAGGGTCCATCTGAAGAGCAAATGATAAAGAAAAGGGTCAATTATATCTTCAAATGAGAGACAGTACTGTGAACAAATAAGAATAACAAAATTATTCCTGCAGGTTTTAACTTTCCATTCCCAAATAAGGATGCTAAGGAATCTCACTGAGCAGTATTCTTGTCTCCAGGAACTATGATCAAAAACAAAAGCAAAACAAACTTGTTTGAATTTGTAACAAAAAGAGAATCACCGTATTCCAAGAAATCCAGTATCTATAAAAGGAGTCATGAAAAACCTAAAGAATAATACAAGAAAATTTAAAATCCACATGTTATGGTTTAAATTTAGTTGTTAATGTTTTCCTTGTAGGAAGCGATAACGCTTAGCATGGTCTCAGATGACCTCAGTGACAGTTATTACAGATATATTTAACTTCTTAAGTTTTGATTTATGGCAAAGTCATAAATGTCAGGCTCTTATTTCAAAGTGGAAATGTTTATTGTTATTTTAAAATAATGTATTAGCTTTCATGTAGTATGGATTGAAATTCACTGTACTGGAAATGTATATTACAACTGAATACTACGATGCCTGTAAGAGATTAGTTAATATGCAACTCTTGTTTAAATATTGATCAAGTAAAGTTCTGACTTATAGCCTGTAATTTCCCCCCTTTTGGCTTGCATATAGCATACATATTCAGAGAATATACAGCAATGAAAGTACTCAGCCTTAGAAAATGTGTGGCACACAGCCATCACAACACTTAGAAAAACACTTCTATCCACAGAGCATATAAAAAGAGACTGAGCGATGATTCTCTTGTGTACCTCAGAAATTAATCTCCAGCATTAACATCTGACAACTGGCAGTTCACTAAACAATGCAGATGACGAGCTAAGGATTACTCACCAACAGGTGTAAGATGCACAAGGACAGTTCAACTGACACTATCAACTAGGAAATCTCCTGAGCTTAAAGTTTAACACTGGATTAGTTGATGATATTTGATAGAGAGGAGAAATAAATACCATCTCTGGTCATGCTTATAAATGAACAAATACAAAAGTAGCACACAGGAGAATTTAAATACAGCAGAAAAGAGGGTAGAACAATGTATGTGTGTGTGTGTGTGTGTGTATTTGGAAAGGTCATGAATTTGAGAGAAGGATATTTAGGGGACATGAAAGAAGTTGGGGGGAGGAAGAGGAAGACGTGGAAATGCTGTAAATACAGTGCACTCACATACGAAATTCTTTTTTAAAAATTAAAGATAATTATTGAATAGAGAATCAGCCCACTTTTTACTACAAGTTTAAGAGAGATGATAGGACAATGACTTGCCAGTATGAAAAAACAGGTATGGGGGCAAGGGGTAGTCTTCTACAGTAAGAGAACTGGTCTTAGATCCCAAATGCGTGATGTTACGTGAAGGTACATGTTAAAGTTCATTAAACTGTACACATCCCCAAATTATGTATAATAACAAAAAGTGACAAAAGAGGTAAGGGTACTGCGTTTAACTACTAAAATCAATAGATAATTATACTAAAAAATCTATAAACTTTGCTCATGATATTTGTTCATTTGTTTATTTATCTAGCAGGGCTGGGCATCAAACCCAGATCCTGATAAACGCTAGGCAAGTGCTTTGCCACTGAACTACCTCTACAAACCCTGAATTTTATTTCATGAGAATTAAGGAAAACTAAGCTAAACAAAAATCAGCTATGGATCAAAGAAATATCAAAAAGTCAGAAAATAAAATATTAGATTTTATTTCATTTTATTCATAAGTATATACATATATATTTAAGTCTACCAGCTTACAAAATACGAAGCTATGCTTTCTGACGGCTCATAGAGATAGTAGTCCATCAATTTGCAGCGGCTTAAAAATAACATAGACTAACTTGGCAAGATTAAAGTCCCCAATTTTTCAAAGTTAAAATATAGCCTTTTATTGAGATAATTTCTCTTTTCAGGATCTGTAAAACACTTCCCATCTGGTAATGTGTGAAATACATAGGACAAAACTGCACATATTTCACAAACACCAGTTCCTACATGAGACTTTCCTCATTTTTGCTATAACTATATAATATTTTAATCTTAAATCACAATACTTGAAAATAATATTCATAAAATCACAATTTTAAGGTACATTCTTTCCCATTACTCAGTTCTTAAAATACACTGAAAATTAATCTTAAAAATCAAAATTGCTTAAAATAAATGCACATGTGCTTGTTTTACCCATAGAACATAGAATCATGACAAAAGATGGATCTAAAGAATCAAGATTAAAATTTTTATTAAACTGAGATCAATATTGGTGAATCCAACACCATCTTTGAATTAACTGTTTCTTTTAAATTTTTGAGGTTGTTAGCTATTTACTTTTTAAAAGAATTCCTAATACAGCTTTATCCTGCTCAAATGTGACATTTGTACCACATCAACCTGAAAACACTGCTTCTGGTTCCCAAGACTTGAAGCTCTTCACTCTGAAGGTAGGTTTTGGTTGGACACTTCAAATGTAAGACAGGTAAGTTCCCCCCCAGCAACCTGTTCCCGCAAAAGCAAGTTAAGGAGGCTCCTTCAAGAAGTTCTCACCAGATGTGGTTCTTCTAGTCTGTATAATTCTCATTTTCTTCACAATATCAATTCAGTTAGCACAGCCTTTTAAATTCCTTCCTTGTTGCCTGTCTTGCTGTCTTGCCATCATTTGAATACGTACATTGTTTCTAACTGTATCAAAATCTACCCCTTATGTTTCTCAGCCATCTTTCCAGCCCCATTTTTCAGAGTTTTTAAAAGTAGAAAGTGGTAATATTCTGAATTTTTGGTATTAGTATTCCTACAAAACTCTAAAAGTTAGATGAGAGTAATTACTATAGTATTAACTTGTGTTCAATTCCCCCACTAGTGGAATGGTAGTTCTCGATAATCATAATGAAAAATGTCTAAGTAAATTCATGGTTGTGGTGAAGTTGTTCCCTCTGGGTTGGACATGACCATCACTGTTTTGAACCCCACAAGGCACTCATAAGATTGGGTCTGCTAACATTACCTCAGGGAGGAGGGGAGAGCTTACAAGGCTCCTGGGGGCTCAGGAGCCTTCCAGATACTCTCATTAGGTCCTTCCTCTCCCTGAGGTTATATATATAGCAAACAACAAACTGTTGGGCACTCTTTGGTAGTGAGTTGCCTGTAAGTTGCCCAGAGAATTCTTCAATAGTGCACGTTTTTATGGGTTGTCCATGCTGTAGGTGAGAATCCTCACTGGCATTATCTGCCTGTAAGTTGCTCAGAGGACTTGGTGGTACAGCAATCTTGGAGCTACTAATACTCTTATAAGTAACCTCAGTATACTCTTTGATTCTCAAGCTCAACTTAGACAGAATCCATTCTTTAATCTGCTAGTGCCCACTGCATCTAGGATGAATAGATGTTTTCTTATACCTTCCAGGAAGTCACATGACAATGGTAATTCTATTATTCATTCATTGATTTTTTAGACTGAATAATGCATTCCAGATTTAAAAAGACATTCTCACAAACTCCAGAATGTTATAAATTCAAGTAGTTCAACTTACCAAATGCAAAAGTACGTAACTATATAAATAGTAATTTCATAGATAGAATATTAAGGTAAATTATTGGAGTAATTTCACACCAAAGCAATATTTTTAAAGATTTAATTGGCAGTTCATAGACATTTGATTGTAAAAAATGAGTGCTTTCAACAATCTTTATTAAACATTATAAAATAAGTTTTATTATAAGTTTTTATAAGTTTTTTATTTATAAATTTTAAATGAACAAATACTTATTAAATAGTTTTATTAATTTAGTTCATGTTAGTTCTGTTTACACAAAAAGGTCTATAGATGGAGAAATTGTGATTCCCTAGGAAATAATTGTAACAAAGGAAAAAAATAAACAAGAGCTCTGCCCATGGATCAGCTACTAGCATTCCTTACCTGGCAGAATTTATGGGTCCCAAATAAGTCTCTTCTTTTCTAAAAAAAGTAAAAATTAGATGTAATCATCTGGACTTGTGAGGACAACATGCATATTTACATGTTTCAAAACCCATTTTCCTTTCGTTTATGTAAAGAAGCCTGAAATGCTTACTAACTCAGAAGTAGCAAGAGTGAGTACTTGCCAGTTTTTCTAATGAAAATCATGTAGAAATGAAATGAAAATCCTATTAGTGCAATTAAATGGTAGGCAATAAAGATAAAAGATGGGGTGTGGCTGTTACCGGGAACTGAGGAGGGAGTTGGAGGCTGTGTATGGGTGAGTTAACTACTGCATTTTAGTGCTCATAGAATGAATTAGTGAAATTGGCCTCACCATACCATTTATTACATTTTCAACATTAAACAAGAACAAACATCTGTGGTATATTCACATGATTATGAGGACTACAAGTCTGTGTGAAATTTTTATTTTATTTATTATTTTTATTTTATGTGTATGAGTGTATTGCCTGTGTCATGCAATGCTGCAGAGGGAGGTCAGAAGAGGGCATTGGATTCCCCTGGAACTGGAGTTAAGGATGATTCATTGACGCCAGGTGGGTGCTGGGAATTGAACCAGGGTCCTCTGTAAGAGCCGTCAGTGCTCTTAACCGCTGAGCCATCTCTTCAGCCCCCTGTATGAATTTTTTAAAAGATCATTACTTTCACTAAATATGCCAAAAAGTAATTTGAAATTGTACAGGGTAAGCAGTCACATAAAAAATATGCAGCTGCAAAGAAATGTAGAAACAGAAAAGAAACACCCTGCTGTTCTTCACTAAGGATAGGCTGAGTCTCTGACAGGGCTATGTGACCAAGGACTTAACACTAGATTGTATTTAGACTCTAGGTGGAACTTTAGTAGAATTAGAGATCTGGTCAACCATCCCCAATACGTTGCCAGAGGTGATACTGGAGTTACATTTGTCTTTAAACAATTTAGCCATGGAAAAAGGCTGAGAATGGGAACGACCCAGGTGCCACACAACTGAGTAGTAAGGTTGTTCAAGAAACATAGAGGACATTCTTTTATCCTTCTTGGTTTTTTTTTTTTTTTATTTGTTTATATTTATTTAATGTGTATGAGTGTTTTGCCTACAAGTAAATGTACCTGTGTGTGTAATGTCTTTAGAGGCCAGAAGAGGGCATTAAAATCCCCTGGGACTGGAGTTACCAGTTTTAGCCATCATGGAGGGTGCTGGGAACTGGATCCCAGTCCTCTGCAAGAGCAGCCACTGCTCTTAAACATTGAGCCTTCTTTCCAGTCCATTTGCTTGAATTTTTTTTCTTTTTCTTTTCTTTTTTTTTTTTTTCTTTGCGGGGGGGGGGGCTGTTGTTTGTGTGAGACAAGGTCTTACTTTGCATCTCTGACTGGCCTGGAATTTGTTATGTAGACCAGGCTGGCCTTGGACTCATAGAGATTTACCTGCCTCTGTTTCCCACAAGTTCTAGGATTAAAGGTGTCTGCTATCATGCCTGGTTCACACTGATCTTAAGACAGGTATTTCACCATTAAATCAACTACATATTTATATCAATACTTTTAAAATACATTTGGAGAGCACTTACTACCCATACAATTCAGGGAGTCCTTCTACGTTTTTTCACTAAGCAGAATCAGAAGCCAAGACTCCAATTTTCCAAATTTAAAATTAGTCATGTAATAAACATTTTTGGAGTCCTATTATGGGTCAGATGTTATCCCAGACTACTTGGGGAAATAAATCAATGACAAGAAAGGACATTGTTTAAAATTTAAAATGTGAAAGACACAGTACAAACTAATTAATTGGAATCTGGAGGGGAAAAGTCACTATTCAGCAAACAGAGGGCATGAGAAGGCACAGAAAGGTCTGTTTTCTGTGCCCCATGCTATTCTGAGCTCCTCTCTCCCTGTCTGATCTTCTCCGACTTTAGACACCCAGGATCCTCCCTTTAGCAGTGTCAGCCTGCAGGGGTTTATGCTTCCTCATTCCTTTCTCTAGCTGTGTAATAACCTGAATATACATCAGAAGAGCAACATTGAGTCTCAGAGCCTTACTCTATGCTAGCAGCTAGCGAAGGGATTATCTTCTGTATGCTCCACTGTGACACAAAGCAGACTATTGATGATCTTCCTTATAAAGTGAAGAATCCCAGGCTCCGAGAACCTCACTTGCTGTTTACCCTCAGGTTCTCAGGTGCTGGACTCAAGCTTAGGCAAGGGTCTCTTCCCACACTATCCCTGGTAAAGGAAATGCAGAGGGTGATGGAGACCATGTATTACACTGGCACTGGGTGGGGGTGTTGAGAGGAAAGGAGAAAATCTAGAGATGCAGCCTGCAAGGCAGCTGCGTATCCCGAAGGCTTGGAAAATGAACCTGACTTTCCTCTCTTTGACCCATTTCTGGTCTTAAGATAAACCCATTTTTTTTATTGTGCAACTTCAGGGGAGTCGTAAATAAAAATTGGGGCTGTTCTGTCTTCTTTCCTCATTGTAACTGATCAGTTTGCACATAGACCAAAAAAAAAACTATGAAAATTCTTAGAGATTACCCGTGAGCAGGTAACAGTCATCAATTGTACCTGTCTTCATTTTACGAAATGGACTTCAGCTACCAAGCCCCATGACTGGACTGGAAGTTTGACTAAACACCAACATTTTGGGGGCATTTTTAACTGACTTTTTATGAGTTTCATACAATATATTTTGATCATATTTAGATATTTCAGCTCCCTCCCCTATCTGTATACCTCCTATAGCCCCCCACCCCCCACTGAGCATCAACTTTTTAAACTGTGACAATATTGAATTACTGTATTATACAAATAATAATGTTTTTTCACTTTTCCTTTTTAAATATCAGACTTGTGGAAAAAAGGTATGAGGAAAGGGTCTCATTGCAACATCAAATATTCCTGAAATGACACATTTAAAAGTGAAAGTTGCATTATTTCTCCAAAGTTATTTCAAGAACTGTTTTGCTTTTCATATTGAAATATTCCAACCACACACTTTTACGTTAGCATTTAACTTAAACAGAAACAAAGCAGATACAACTGTAAGAAAGACAAATTTCTTTTCTCAAAGATCAAGAAATAGAAAGGGTTGAAGATTGTTACCATTAGTTCACCCATTGTTTCAGATATGAGGTGAAAGTACTCAATAGAAATAATACACCAGTCACATCCCTGGGTTAATGAGCTACCCAAAAAATTTGCATTTTTGCTGGAATATGTGAGAAGCCTCTTCTGCCCAGAGCACCCTGACAGGGGTCTGCTGGAATGCCGGGTGGGGGCGGGGGGCACTGCTAAAAGGAAGCTGAATGACATTTCACTCAGCACAGACTGCTGATTAAATCAAGAGTCAAATATTTGGAAAGGTGCTTCTCCCAAGAAGTCCCGGCTCTTTGCTGAAACCACAAGTTGGCCATCCTTTGCAAACAGCATCAACTGTGCTCCAAACCCTGGGATCCAATTTCCCCAGCAGAATGTCAATCAGTCATTCAGAACTTGTATAAAGGCTAAGATAACACAACATGGACTACAGAAAATAATATAAAGTCACATTATATCTAAGTACTAGACCCAATAAAGTTACTGCTCTTTACTATTAGTAATTTTATGGAAATCCTGCAGTAATGAAGTGAGACATCAGGATTTGTTTTACCTTTCCCCACCTGTTCCCAGCCTCCTTGGTATGAGTTCATACTGTCTGTCAGAAAGAGTATGATCAGTCTTAGAGGTGAGGCAGCGATGGAGTAAAGAACAGGTTAGCATTTTGTTTTGTTCTTCCATTTACAAGATATCCATGCTGCAGCAAAGAACACCCCCCCCCCACATATGTAACCAAGGAATAAATAGATAAATAAATTTAGAAACTTTGATCTTTTTCACTCATTTCCAAATTGGTAACTCCCACCCCCTAAGTGGCTCTGAAGTTCAGCAAGAAAGAGTTGGATTTTTCACTGACAAACAAGATAGCTTGAGTCATGAAAAAAAAAATTCTTGATCTAATTTGAATACTCTGTATTTTCTGATAGTTTTTCTTGAAAAAATCCAATTTGAGGGGAAGTCAAAAGAAATGTACAGAAGATGAAGAGACTGGTAGTCTGCCATTAAATGGTCTGTTCTTTCTGATTCACTTTGAGATAGTAAAAGACTTACTGGAGGTTAAAAGTTCTTCTTTTTTGCTGTTTTTGTTTTTTAAGGTTTTAGGATTTTTAGAGGTTAAAAGTTTCATGTCAGCATTAAACATGCAGCTTTGCCCTTGAGAAGTTTTGCACCTCTCCAACCCATCATACCCACATAAATTTATGGGTTTCAGTTTGTTTTTATATACATGATTTTTTTTTTCTTGAATAGTTGTGACTTGGTTTTGACACAACTGGTTTGGACAAAGGTAGAGAACAGCCTTCAGAATGTCAGTGTTCTGGGTGGAGAAATGTCTAAAGCTATAAATAAATATTTGAAAATGTTACAAGTAGCATGAAGACAATAAAACTGGGAAATATGAACATAATACTCTTTTGGCATAAAAGTAACTCCCAAGAAACCATTTTGGTTACCTTGGTACTCACTGTGATTCAGATAAAGTACTTTTTACATATAAAGCCATCCTGAAGGGCTGGAGAGATGGCTCAGAGGTTAGGAGCACTGGCTACTTTTGCAGAGGACCTGGGTTCAGTTTCCAGCACCCACATTGTAGCTAACAACCATCTGAAATTCTAGTTCCAGGGGATCTGACGCCATTGTCTGACTTCCATGGGCATTGCATGACATGAGTGTACTTGCATACATACAGGCAATACACTCATACACATAAAATAATAAATAAAATATTAAAAACTAAAACCATGCTGAATTTGTAATATTAAGGATGTTATTTCATGATTTTAAAAAAGTTGATATAAAATTTAGAATTATATAATTGTAAAAATCTTACAGACCAAGAGGGCATGCTTCTCCACTTTCAAAGTGGTTTGTGAGATTATCTGCAGAAGATGTTCTTCAATGAC